CAAGGAATTGTTCGATTTGTCCGGATTTTGGTGACGCACCCTGTATGTATACTATAATGTGTGAATAAACACACGTTATAGAAATTATTAATGCTAAGCTATTTATGCATTCCCTATGTTTAAATATGCAATATTAAAATTGTATGTAATATACATATATAACATAACATATATTATATAATATAATGCATATATATATACATATAAAATTTAATTGCAATGTTTTGTATAAACATAGGAAATATCTGCATGAATACCAGTTTAATCACATCTATCTCTCATTTGTGTAGATATTCACACATCATAATAGACATGCAATAGTTTAATGTTAAAAAAATAATTATTTTATAAGGGACTTTAAGTCTATAAAATATATGTATAACTAACATAAATAAAGACTAATGAGACAATGTAAATATATAACGAAGAACTCACATATCCAAAAAATTGTGTTATTCACAAATTGTTAAAGATGAAGTGATGTAAAATTTTAGTAGATAGATTTGTATAAATGTAATTTTGTAATCAATTATGTATCAAAGTTTCTTAACATGCTTTGTATCTATTAAAATTTTACAGCAAGTTAAATTGTAACAGCAAGTTACAATAAGTATATTTTTACTAAATGAACAGTTTGACTGTGACATAGATATATTTTCGAATGCAAACATGTATATGTATTTGAAATATATGTATACAATAATGTAATAGCACTTTTTCCTTTGTTTGCAATGCCATTTTAACTTAGGATGTAACATGTATTGTCAGTACATGTTGTTAGTCAACGTGTACATTGACCTATAAGTGTATAAATTTATTAAAACACTTTGAATATGATATACCTATATACATTTCATAAACGTACAGCGTCGTATGAAAATTATGCATATGACTATTGACTGTGTAATGTATATTATAAATTTATATTGACTGTGTAATGTATGTTATAAATATATGTATAGCACCTTTATATATATAACATATATATTATATAGCGTATCCAAAAAGACTCCGGATTTTTATGAGCTGAACATAAACGTGATATAACTAATCGTGAAGGAATGTGAATTATACTTATGTCGGCATACATAGTACACTAAAATATAATGCGTTGACCTATGACTATGATTCACATTCTACGACTCAGTTACGGCCATTTTTGTGCTATAAAGACCTAATGTTTTTGGAAGAAACGCTCCAAACAATAATTTTAAGATTTCAAAGAAACTATTTACTAATATTTAGTTTGACGTTGAGTGGCGTCTGCAGGGTCAGAGATCAAGATCTCATCTATATTTTTTTTAATGAAACATGCTATTTTTATTGTAGATTACATAGTTATTGTATTGTAGAATACACAGTTATTATTGATATGTTGATTTATATGAGGATATAAGTTCGAAAAGTTCTCGATCTAATATAGAAATGATCTCATAAATATTAAACTGCTATAATTTTAGAAAAGCTTGATCCTTTACAGGATTACTGTTTCAAACAGAAAATTTCAAACAGATATGTTCATTAGTTTCTTTGTTTCGGCCGTGTTAAGCAATCAGCTTTTGATTGCATCATGACAATGAATCTATTCATATTTCTTCAATTGCAGACGCAAAATTCTACAAATTAGTTTCGCAATCGTATTTAATCAGATTTGATGATGAAATGCCTCTGACAGTAAATTAAAAATAGTCAGCCCACGATGAACGCTTCTGACATTTGTCTATAACTAGTCAAAGGACGATTTAGGGCTGTAGCATTTTGTTATAGCTCGTCAGCCCACGATTAATGCCTCTGGCAATAAATTAAAAATAATCAGCCCACGATGAACGCCTCTGACATTGCATCATAATTAAGCAAAGTACAATTTATTGTTATAACATTTAACCATATCATTTGTATGATAAATAAAAGTAATATTTTCACGAATGACGTAAAAATACTAACCTTTTCCATTCTGGCTTTATAGGGCCTTCCGACAAGAAACACATATTGCAATAACTTTTTAACCAATTTTGGCTTTACAGGATGTCTTCCAATAAGAGACTCAGTGTGACACGGTATGACACGGTGCATCATTACAGTCTTGTTCGTCAATACAACAAGGATGAGATAATCATTATGTTGTACTGAGTCGCTTGTTAGAAAACACTCATAACCACCTATGCGAACCTGGCATCCAACTTTAAGAAAAACAATTTTTTTTAAATGCATTGGATAGAGCCAGATTTGTACTCGATTGTATCACTGTTCTTTTAACTCTCAAGGGGTTAAGGAAAAAGGGGTACAAGAAAAAAAAATTTTTTGAAATGTTAGCACCCCACTTTGAGATATTGAAATTCTTCAAATGCCATTAGATTCAAAATCCTTTGTAACCGTTTGTACCGCAGTTTGTTTTGTTTGTATCCTTAAGGTTGATTTTACAAAATTTTCAAAATAGGAGTGAGTGCTAACTTCACCATTTTTAAAGATATCGTAAATCTATAAACGGATGCTGTTTTTGCATCGTTTGTAGACATTTGTACCACCGTCGATTTCGTTTGTGCCCTTAAGGAGGTGATAGTAGCGAATTTTCAAAATAGGGGTAAGTGCTAACTTCGCTAATTATTAAGATATCTTAAATCTGTAAACGGGTGCTATTTCGGGATCGCTTGTAGACGTTTGTACCGTCGGTTTCGTCTGTATCCTCAAGGATATTATTGTACCGAATTTTCAAAATAGAGATAAATGCTAACTTCGCTAATTATTAAGATATCTTAAATCTGTAAACGGGTGCTGTTTCTACATCACTTTTAGACGTTTGTACCCTTAAACATGTGTTATGATTCGTACATGTTTTATATCTTATTTTTCATTCATTCGATAGCGAAGCATCCGGAAGTGGAGACAAGACGTACTCTCATAATGTTTACATAACGATGAATTTCTTCTGAACTAGGTTTTTAGCGTATTGTTGAACTCCCAACTAGCGGATTCTGTACATATGTATATATGGGAGCCACCATTATATGGGAGCTACAGTTTAACGCCGAATCCGAACGGCGCTGGTGATCAAAGGTCTCTTGATCACCAGGTGGAGTCTTTTTCGGCTCCTTAGCCATATTGGTGCAAGTGGAATTGAATTCGGATCTATAGATCGCGCATCATTCGCACCGAGCAGCAAGCCCCTCGACGCCTCATATCATATTTCATTTTATTTTATTTATTGTTTTATTTTATTGTGTACGTTTGTTTTATTATATTTTTTATTCTTTTATGAAAATTAATAATAATAATTTTCTTTTTTGTAGGAGTTTTGGTGCGTTGAACAGTTTTCGTATCTCGGCACAGATTGTTATGGATTTCCTATTTACCTGACAGTCTTCGAATATGGACTACGTAATGATCTATTGAATTCTTATTATGTGTTCCTATGTATTCTATTGCAGCAAGCAGTCTGTATTCGCACTTAATATATATATTATAAAATTGAATTTCTATTGGTATTTGACTTAATGTGAATTCTCCTTCCCAATTAAGTATATTCAAATTTTTTGCGAGATCTTGCCATTGTAAGTATTCTATGTCTATAAACAGGAGCTGATCGCATATGATGGAATATTCGATACTGTCTTCATTATATCGAGTGCATTTTTGATTGCTGTAAAGGTACTGTTCATTTACAGTGCACTCTAAAGCATTCATAAAATTGTTTTGGGTTTACTTCTAAAACGTTATATTGGGTTGGTGCATATGAAATGTCGGATTTTCTTTACATATGAACGTTTGTCTCCCTGTTTCGTTATGCTTTTGTTTTTGGCATAACCTTATTTATAGTCGTATTGTCCATTGCTAGAGTCACATTTCAACAAAGAAGTTTTTCTCAGAAGTGTTCTATTTTGTTATTTGTTTTGAATTTCGTAAGAATATGAATTCAATCGATATTCATGTAATTTTTTTATATGAGTATAAACTTGGTAATTATGCTGCAAAAGCTGCACGCAATATAAATCAGGCATTTGAGGAGAATACTGTTAACAATCGAAAAGTGCAGCGTTGGTTTGAAAAATTTCGGTCTGGTAATTTTTC